TATGTTTATTAGTATATAAAATTGCATGGAAAGTTAGTTAAAAATTAATTATATGAACAGAAATAAAAATTGAGGAAACATGATTTTTTTTTCTTTTTTTAAATTCACATGATCAATTTTGCTCTCTATCTCTCTGTTTTGTCAAAGTTCATACAAGTTATGATTATTAGAGTCCTCTTAATATGGTATATAAATTAACAGATAATAGATAATTGACAATGATTATTAGAGTCCATGATTTAACATGAAAATAGAATTTAGTAAATTCTAAATTATGATAAAATTGTATAAAAAAAATCTACAACTTTATTTCCTTTGAGAGCCTAATAAGAAAATAAATGTCCAAAAGTACATTTCACCTATAGATGACACAAGGTGACTGCATTAGCGATGCAAGGACATTCCCCTGCTATTGTTCACCCTTGGAGAAAATATTTGTCTTCTTATTTTTCAGAACTGCCTTCCCTGTTGTCCAAGGTACCAACGAGACATTTCTCCAGCAAGAATTCAAAATTCACCCAAGCATGATATTTGTCTAAAATAAAGGTTAAGGGAAAATGAAAAGCAGCATATACTCATGTTTTGAAACTTCTGGGATGTGCTCTCCAACACCACAAACTAACTTTGTTGAGTAAACTTGACATATCTTAGTCTTTTCTATTTCTAGATTACAATATCTTGCTTGGATATCGTGACCATAATCAAAACCATTTCTAGAGGTTTGGATTGGAAAAGCACAGAATTTTCATGTAACCTTATGTAACCTAACCAGCTAAATACATAAATAGATCTCAGAAAAGGATACTGAATAGTGATGTACAGTCTTTTCCCACTGCCTTCATCAGCATATCAACACCTGAGGAAAACAGTTATGTCAAAAACAAGCTCATGCATTTCCTATGCAACATCTAGCAAATGATGCATAAACACATGCTCATAGGAAACTTTGAAAAACAAAAAAAACTTTAAAATGAAAACACTCAGATATGGGTTATATGGCTGCTGGGATAAACTATGCCACCAGAAATATATAGTGTTTCAAGTATAGAATTATGTGTATAAGCTAAAGCATCAAAGCAACACATTATAAGGAAAAAGACATTCAAGCAGTAGTTAAACAATAAAAGGTTTCCAAAATCCAGACTTTGAAGTTTCAGAACACATCATTAGCAAATATCAATAATAGCCGATATCTTCTAAGGTAGGGGTGGGTGGAAAAGGAGAGTAATATAGGTTGCACAAAGAGAGCATAAAAACTTCATCAATCAACACCAATCACACAAGAATATAACAAACACCAACCAATGACCTTTGTTAGACTGGTTCAGCATATTCTAGCACAACTTCAGCACTAGGCTTCAAGGTCCCATAATAGTTATTTTAAAAAATGGCAATGGAATTTAAAGGATTATTATTATTATTATTATTTTTTTTTTGGCAGGAAAAAGCAAACACCTATGAAACTAGTGGTACGATCAAGGGTCAAATTAAAATTTCATATAAATGAACTTAAGTCATTTAGAATGTGCTAAAATAAAGCATTTCATATGAATGAATTAATAAATGAACCCAATGGTAGTGAAATTTTATCAAAATTTAGTTGACCAGAAGCTGAAATTTCTGCAGCATACAATCATGCTTATACCTCCTGGATGAAACTTCATGTATGGAGACAAATTGTACACACGACCTTTTAGAACAGTCCACATGGAGCCTTCTGTTTGGTGTTGCTTAACTTCATTCATAGAAATACGCCTCTTATTCGACTGTCCTTTGAGTCCTGGAACAAATGGAAACGTAGAAGGGTAATGCCACGTTAGAAATGAAAATAGTTTTGCTTTTAAGGATTGTTAACACACCTGCAAGATCTGGATGTGTCCGAGTAAGCTTAAGCCAGTCCATTTGACTATACCCCTTTTCAAAAGGTACCTTGGCCCTAGTTATAGGCTTTCTAGCAGGCACCTTTGGTTCTCGTACACTCTTAACTGAATTTCCCACATCTGTGAATGCTACATTTGTTGATGACTCAGTAGATTGTTTCTGTGACGAGGTATGAATAACATTAAAAGACAAAGAACCAATGGAACCCTCCTTGAAGGTGGAATTATCTGGCAACTTGTTCTTCCACTGGGAACCACTATTTTGACTGCTAGCACTGCCATTTGAGACTTGATCTCTAATGCTAATACCACCAATATCGGTGGCAAGATTCTTTGCCTCAAGGCTGCTGTGATCAGAAGGCAAAGCAACCTAGATTGAAAAGCGAGAAATCAGAGTTTACAAAAGCATCCAATACCGAAACATATTCAAAAACTCAAAAGAGTAAAGCTTGCCATAATATAAAAGCTATGGATTCGGCATACAAAATATATATCTAAATATAGGATTTTAACTTGCCTGACAAAAGGTAAAATCATCATCACTGTCCATCTCCGTCTTGCCGTTGGTGAAATTAAATTTCACAATTAATCAAAGCCTGCCAATGATGCATTTAGAAGAATATATACATGCAATCAGAAGTATGCATTTTAACAGACATTTAATTGGGAAAATCACAACACAAAACTCAAAAACTCAATACTCAATACATATGTATGCATATATCCTTAATTTAAAGTCAGACCTCAAACCTCAAAATTCACATTGAGGAAGTCATGGCATTTAACTTCAAACAATGACATTCTGAGTAGAAAGCAAATTACAAATTTTCCCAATTTTCCAAAATTTCTCAAAATTCATACTAATCAACATTCCAAATAGATACAGTATGTCGATTTCCAATTAATTATTATTATTAAAAAAAAAAAAAAAAAACTACAAACCAAAACATTCTCTTCTCAATCTCAATTACAACTAATATTACAATTACAAAGCATAAAAAATCATCATAATCAACCATCACCAAAACAATAAACAAATATTATTTTTATTATTATTATTATTTACCTCAAAATGGAAACCGAAACCGAAACGATCGATTCCTTCTCAGGTCGACGGAAAATCTGAAGTCCTTCTCCGTTTCTCCGGCTGCGTTCTTCTCCGTCAATTCTGATTCGTAGAGGGCAGGGCAAGGGAAAGGCGCGCGTAAGTTGCTTAAATCACACGCGCGTCGCTGATGTTGAATTTCCAGTTTGCCCTTTCCAGCTTTCAACGTAAATCCCTCACCTACAGACTCCAACTTCCCAGTTTACCCTTGAGCATTTTAATTGTCCAAAAAAAAAAAATCAAAATTATAAAATTAAATATTGTCCGCTGTCTTACTCTCACCCAACTCCAAACTAATACGCACGTGCAATGCCGTATTCAACTGCCTCAGCACGTGTAAGAAATTACGCATTTTTAGTTTGGTTGAATCCTCATTTTGATCCACTATTTGATTAAAAATTTCTTTTATAGTCTTTTTATTTGAAAAAACTCATTTTTAATCTTTAAAATTTAAAATTTAACTCTTTTTTAATTCTTTCATTAAGTTTTAAACATGTAATACGTGTTAGATAATAAAAATTTTAAAGTAAAAAAACAAAAAAAGAGCTGAAAAAACCTTAATTTAACCTTTCTACTCTAAAAAAAAGCTTTTTTTTTTGTTAAATACTTTTTTTGTCCCTTTACTATTAAAAAAAGTTTCTTTTTTTATCTTTGTACTGAAAAAAAAAAATTCGACGCTTTTTTTGTCATTCTATTAATTTTTTTGACAAATAACAGTTAAAAAACGAAATTATGTGATTTAAAAAATTTATTTTGTAAAA